GGGGTAAAAAAGCGCGCCAAGCGCGAGCAAAGTAGAGATAGAGGCGCGAGAACGCAAGTAAGCCGCGAGAGCGCGACTCGTCTACGAGACCGCGAAGTTCAAATATCAAAAGCGACGATATAGCGTCGACATGCCGCCGCCCTTGATAGGACCATCCTTCAATGAAAAGTACGAATTATTTCAACTTAATCTGATCAATGAAGTCGTAGATTAGAAATCTTAAAAACAAAGTGATAAACTTATATGTAATACAAACGCAAATTATAGCTAGGTAGACGCAAATTATAATAGTACAAGGTTATAATAATATAATGTGAATTACAATAATAAGTGTGGTTGTATAATAATAAACGCACGTATCACGACAATCATAGCTAGACAGAGTCCTCAATAGGAAGCAGACACAACCGTGTGATAGGCCGTTTGTAGCTTCCGTTCATTGTGCGTATAGTTGCGACACGAGCTATTCCATCACCACCAATATGTAGTTCTTGAATTCTTCCAAGAGGCCAAGATAATGGCGGTGTATTATCCTCCTTTAAAATAACCATTTGTCCAATGTGTATTGCTGCATCTTGGGTATGCCATTTGTTACGTTGTTGACATTGATGCAAATATTCTCTTGACCAACGTCGCCAGAAGTGTTGACGTAATTGCTGTACATGTTGCCAGCGTGAAAGGCGATTTAATGGTATTTCTTCCAAAGATGGTTCAGGATGAGATGTAATAGGAGCACCTATCAGGAAATGTCCAGGAGTAAGGAAGATAAAATCATTGGAGTCAGAGGAAACAGGCGTAAGCGGGCGAGAGTTTAATATGGCTTCGATTTGAATAAGAAGCGTCTCCAGTTCCTCATATCTGAGATGACTATCCTTTGTCATTTTGATTAAATGTCGTTTGGCTGACTTTACAGCAGCTTCCCATAATCCACCATGATGTGGAGATCTTGGAGGGATAAAGTGCCAGTTAACTCCCTTACTAGTCGCTTGATCAATGACTTGCTGTTGCATAGCTTGGTTCTTGATTAGGTCTGCCAATTCTCTGAGTTCGCGATCAGCTCCAACGAAGTTTAGACCGTTGTCTGAGAAGATATCAGAGGGACATCCTCTTCTGGAAATAAAGCGTCTGAAAACACTCAAAAATGCTTCTGAAGATAAGCTGGAAGCTAATTCGATGTGAACAGCCTTGGTTGCGAAACAGACAAAAATGGCAATGTAACATTTTATGAGTTTAGCATTACGTCTAGTCCCTTCCTTGTAATAAAGAGGGCCAGCATAATCGACACCACATTTATCAAATACCTTCTTAGGTATATTTACTCGGGATTCTGGAAGATTGCCCATTAATGTGGAAGCAGGTTTTGGCGAGCTACGAAAACAGGTTACGCATTTTCTTACAATTTGTCGTACGACGTTACGTGCAGAAATCAGCCAGTATCTTTGGCGTATCGCAGCCAATGTGGCTTGCGGACCAGCGTGAAATTCCGCTTCATGTTCGTGTCTTATGATGAGATGTGAGAAAGGATGATGTCCTGGTAATAACATAGGATGTTTAGCTGCATATGGTAAGAACGATGATTTTATGCAACCTCCGACTCTCAATATGCCAGAGTCATCGATGAAGGGATTTAATTTCAATATAGGACTACCCTTGCTCACTACTCCTCGTACTGCGAGGGACTTGATGTCTTCAGGAAAAGACTCGGCTTGTATTAGCTTCACTAAACGAATGATGACGTGATTGAGCTCTTCCGGGAGAATAGGCTTGATAGTGCGCGTCTTCTTCTCTAGAGAACTTACCGGATTGTTCGAACCCTTGAGGTTTCTGGCATTTTCGAAGAATCTCAACATGTATGCGATGACTCGAACTAATTTTGTGAATTTCGAGTATCGGTTGAATATGTCGAGAACCTCTGTGTTGGTTAAGGTCGTCGCGATCATCTTGGACCTTTTTTCTGGCAGTTCTTCTGGTAGTGCCGAAGCTGAAGGTTGTGGCCATTGCTCCTTATCGTAACTTAGCCAAATGGGTCCTGTCCACCATATTTTTAGACTAGGCAGAGCATTAGGCATGACGCCTCTTGATAGGGGATCCGCTGGATTGTCCTCGCTGGAAACATGATTCCAGTATTGAATTGGAGTCAAATGTTGTATTTCTCCTACCCTATTAGCTACAAAAGTAGCCCAGGTACGACTGCAAGATTGAAGCCATGCTAAAACAATTTTAGAATCGGTATTGAGAGATACAAAATCGATTTTACAATTAAGACATTTTGTAATTTTGTCGTACAGCTGTGCTAGTAATAGAGCTGCGCTTAATTCGAGGCGTGCCAGGGATAGGTTCTTCAGCGGCGCTACTCTTGACTTTGAGCATAAGAGGTTTGTGAAGTGTTCTCCTGAGGCAGAAGTGGAACGTAAATAAATGCAGGCTCCGTATCCGACTTCGCTAGCATCAGAGAATCCGTGTAGTTCCAGATGCGGGTTGATCAGCGGTTATGACTCTGCGAGGGATGCTTATGCTTCTTAGATCTTGTAATTCTCTTTTGTATTGCTTCCATTTTGTATTCAAGTCTAAGGGTATGGATTCATCCCAATTGAGTTTGAGACGCCAAAGATCTTGCATGATGATCTTGGCCACTAATGTTACTGGGCCTAATAATCCCAGAGGGTCAAAAATCAAAGCGATTCTGGATAAGATGCTCCTCTTCGTGGGATTTTCAATAGGTGGTGGACAATTGATACTGGAGAATTTAAACGTGTCGGAATTGCAGTCCCATAAGATGCCCAGTGTTCGTGTCTCGGTTTCCTTGTCGGTTGCCAGAATGAACTCCTTTTGGTTGACCGAGGATGTGTCACCTTGTAAGGAGGGCTCGTTGGACGCCCATTTCCTCAGTTCGAATTTCCCTTCTTGCAACAATTGGGTAAGCTGATTTTTGATGGTTAAAGCTTCTTGTATTGTGTTTGCTCCGGAAACTAGATCATCAACGTAGAAGTTTCGTAACAGTATCTCGGAAGCAACTGGATAACGTTCCTTATATTCTTCAGCCAATTTTCTCATAGACTCGATTGCTTCGAATGCTGCAGAAGCCGTACCGTAGGTCACTGTGAGTAGCTCGTATATTTTGATGAGCTCGTTAATTGCCTTACGCCAGAAGATACGTTGGAGAGGGGTGTGTGATGGATCAACTAGTACTTGCCTATACATCTTGACTACATCAGCAGTCAGTGCAATCAAGAACGTGCGGAACCTCACTAAAATGGAAAAGAGATCTTCCTGTTGATTGGGGCCGACCATTAATACATCATTCAAGGATATACCGGTGTCGGTTTTGGAAGAAGCGTTGAATACTACTCTGAATTTAGTAGTCGTACTTGTTTCCTTTCTTACGGCGTGATGCGGTAGGTAATAAGATTGACTTGGAGTGGATTCGGTCGATTCATCCACTTCTCGCATGTGTCCTAAATCAATATATTCTTGCATGAATTTCTTGTACTCAGAGTACATATCAGGTTGAGTTATGAGACGTGCTTCTAGTGCCTTGAAACGTCGTAAGGCTATATCCTTGGAATTGCCTAGTTTGTCCAACATGTCCTGTTTTATTGGTAGTTTGACGATAAAACGGCCTTCAGAATTTCGCCGCAATCCCTTTAAGAATAGCTTCTTGCAGGTACGTTCTTCACTTGTTAGTGTATGCGAAGAAATGTTGTGATCTACTTCCCAAAAACGATTCAACTCTTGACTTAAATCATTGGATACAGTTAAATGCAAGTTAACCGAGGGAGTCTGTCCAGCCATGTCAATCGCGGTACAGCCAGACACTACCCATCCAAAATGAGTTTTCTGTAAAATAGGTAGATTTTTAGATTGTTTGATTTGGCCAGCACATATGATTCGCCAGAATAACTCAGCGCCTATTAGCATGTCAATGCTGGACGGTACGTTAAAATTTGGATCTGCCAATTTTATATTTTTAGGTATCGTAAAGCTTTGGATGGATAGCGAATGCTGCGGTAGATGTTGAGTAATCTTTGGTAATATTACGCAATCTATATTCTCACTGAAATTATTGAAACGTGATTTAACGCGTATGTTTACAAAACTCTTAGCTCTAAATACTCCTTGCATGACGCCCGACACTGACATTTCAAGAAATCTTTCCTTAAGTTGCAATTTATCAGCAAACTCTTGCGTTATAAAGTTCATTTAAGAACCGCTGTCAAGTAATGCGCGACAAGAAAGAGGTTTGTTATTCGAATCGTAAATGTTTACAATGGCTGTAGATAGCAAGACGTTCAATGGATGATGACTTGAAATGCATTGTGTGGAGACTGGTAGAGGCGTGTCAGTTGTTTTATCAGGAGGAGTCCTAGTATTCGATAATGATTGATCTGCGTTGTCTGTGGTAGACATATGTAACAAGGTGTTGTGCTTTTTGCTGCATTTACGACAGGCGCTTGATTTACAAAGTTTGGATTGATGGGTGGTAGATCTTAAACAATTTATACAAAGATGAGCCTTTTTCGCATTCTTAATCCTATCCTCGACTGTTAGTTTGAGAAATTCTTCGCAATGATATAACTGGTGATTTTCTTTACATAAAGGACAAGATAAATTAGATGTAGCGACGTTGGCGACCGATGTACCCTTATGTTTTCCTTGTTTCTGTGTATTATTCGTTGCATTGTTATGAGTTTTAGCGTGAATTGCTTCTAAAGCTTGACAACGTTTTGAAAGGAATTGCATTAATGTTTTTAAATCGGGTACATCGTCATCAAGACTTATTTCCCAAGCTTTACTCGTAGGTATGTCGAGCTTAGAAACTACAATGTGAACAATTAAATCGTCCCAAGATTCAGTAGGCCTATTGAGAGCCTTAAGAGCGCGTAGATGCTTAAGAATAGTGTCGAGTAACTCACGCAGAGCTAAATGATTTTCCTTGTTAATAGCTGGTGCATCAAATATGGCTTTGATGTGCCTTTGTATGGTCCAGCGCTTATTGTCATAACGATTTTTAACGGCTGCCCAGGCATCGTCATAGTTATCCGTCGTCGTATCTAAGGACTGTATAATCTCCGCTGCTTTGTCCTTTAATGAAGAGCGTAAATAATGGAACTTTTCGATAACAGATACATCTTCGTTCTGATGGATTAGCTTTTCGAAGGTGTCCTTGAATGAATACCAATCCTCAAAAGAACCTGAAAAAGTTGGTAAAATTATCTTGGGAAGTTTAATGCGCGTTTCCCTGTTATTGACCGTGTGGTTACTCTCCGATATTGGAGTTGTGCGAATTTCAGGTTGCGAATTTCGGTCGCATAATTCGAGAGTTGTATCGAAACGTGACATTAAAGTATAGTAAGGCTCCTCAAAGCTAGCGCGTTGGTGCATCTGTTGCTCGAGAAGACGATCCTTATCCGTGGTAGGGTCAGCATTTTCGAGGGTTTCAATACGTGTCTGTACCTCGTCGAACTGAGCCCACATATCAGCTAATTTTTGCTTACGCACACTTATGTCGTGTCGCGAGCCTTGATTTATATCGAAATTATCCATAAAGGTTCTTAATCGCGTGGCCGCTGCTCGTATTTGCGATCTTTTATTTTTAGCGTCCGTTAATGTTAACGAATCCATGCTTGCTTGTTATGCTATAACGACTACTTGAAGGAATGCAATATGTCTGCCGTGAAACGCGAAAATGAGATGCGATTTCTATCTAGTACGATATGTGATGTAACCTAGCAGGATCGTATGGAATGTACGCTTACCTGGTGTAGTACGATCTTATGTATGTTTGGAAATTCGTACTATTACCAATATACCTGTTGTGCCGTGAATCCGGCTCGAAGGACCATTTATGTGGGGGCTTGTGCCCTTTGCGTATGTGCACGCGATTTTTCTTTCAGGCCTTGTGGCGTTCCTTGTACGGGAATAGAATGAATCTCGTGTAGTTGTTAGTATCGTATTTAATATGCTCGTGGGTTGGAATACAATCGCAATCGTTAATATAATATGATCTCGTCGTGTTGACCTTCCTTCCAAAAACGCTCGTGAGAGACGCAGAGAGATCCTCGCAACGTAAGTGGCGCGCAAAGACAAGACCGATCGCCAGACGTGGTAGACAAAAGCAAAACGGTAGTAGGGGTAAAAAAGCGCGCCAAGCGCGAGCAAAGTAGAGATAGAGGCGCGAGAACGCAAGTAAGCCGCGAGAGCGCGACTCGTCTACGAGACCGCGAAGTTCAAATATCAAAAGCGACGATATAGCGTCGACATGCCGCCGCCCTTGATAGGACCATCCTTCAATGAAAAGTACGAATTATTTCAA